AAAAACACTGGCTTGTGTGTGGGATGCCCTTCCCTTCACTCGCAGGCCAGTGTGTGGGCTAAATCGCATTCGAAATATCATTACAACTTTGAATAGAAAGCAGGATGTGAGGCTAATTCCAGAAGCGGTCAGCAGTTGGCGCCGTGGGCTTTTTTTAAATCTGAAAATCGTCCATAAATATTTGATTTGGTTGTGTCGTTTTTTTTTAACCGCGGAATTCGCATGCTAGCGTCGCGTGTGCAAGCTTTACGGTAGCCGTACTTTCGCATAAAATATTGATATGGTGATGCAAATCCGGCAGTAAGTAAGGGAAAGTAGCAAAAATTGATCAGGTTGGAGGGAAAAGCATGGGAATATAAACCTTCAACTCAGAAAGTCATTTTCGGTCAGTGATATTCAATTTCTAACTGAGTGCAGCTGATTTCGACCCTTGTTGGCTGCGGATGATGCGGCTCGTCAAAGAGAATTTGGCATAAAGTCAGCCCATTTTATTTATCCGACACGACTGACTGTATGATGCCGTTCGTAGCAGTCGTTTTCCACCACTTGTTGTCCCTTACCCGCTTCAACATCGCAGGAAAGGCTGGCTGCGCACCATGCTCAGCTCGCTGACACGCCCCTTGATCCACAGTGTACGTACGCACTTCCCCTCAAAATTTTACAGTCAGCTTTATTTTGAACAAAGACACTTATTGGTCTAGAGTCATAAATGAGGAGAGCTGAGGAGTTCAAAAGGAAGTACGGTCTGTGACAAGGAGCGTAGGTAATGGTGCTAAAATGTGGAAGAGAAGTTCAATGGACTCGTCCGTGAAGAGGAAATGCCAAATGGAACGTCAAAAACGCCTTTGATAGGACCTCCTCTAGAATCAAATAATTGCATGGGGAATGGTCAATAAACCGCGACTTGGGACGAGCTCGGTGGGTTGACTTCCTTCCAATGAACCCTTTGACGAAGGCGGACATGGAAGGCGGAGTTTGGAGGCGGAGTCACTGGGAAAGGGAGGTACTTTCTGAAGCGGCATTACACCTTAACTCCTTAACTTCTCAACTTTCCGCCGCGAAACTGGCACAAGGATGTCCATTCCGAGTTCTCCGAAAAAGGTTCAAAGGCTCGAAAAGGTTAAGAGTAGGTGTGAAGAGGGTATCAAAGGTACCAGCGTGGTTCGCTCAACTTTTTTTTTCTCCCATGCATATAAATATTTAGGAGCATTAATACTCGTTTTTCAGGGAACGAAATCTGAGACATTACCGATCAATGGGAAAGGTGTGGTGAATGCAGCTTGACCTTTCTGATCATTGTGGATTTTGCCGAGGATTCTCTTGAATATCTCTTGTCATGTACATACATTTCCTAGTGCTGTAGACATATCGTGAGCCCTCCTTGGCAGAACTTACAGAGATACTCAATCTCCCCTACCCTTTAACGATTACACTCCTCATCATTACGGACTGTCGGGGCGTATCGGCCAGAAGGAGTGCGCACACTGTTTGAAGCCGTTCTCAGCCTTTTCTTTGAAGCGCGTATGCGACAAAAAGTGGTAGAAAACGAGTAATGACGAAGGATATAATGCTGTTATGTCATTTGATCGCTTCAACAACTGGTGCAGAAAGACTTTGGAACCGCGGAAAACGCAGCCGCACTGACCCGCCCCGACAGTCCGTAATGATGAGGAGTATAATACCTCCAAAAGTATAGTTTTCTATTGGAAACATGAAACCATTGCGGTTAAATCAGAAAACGTTGTTACAAATATTGAATGCCGGTGAACACTGTAATTATTACATTTATTCAGTTATATTTATTTTGTGATTAAATTGTGACTCGTGAAAAAATCCGTTTCTTATCATGTATTGTTGCTATATCAGCACGCTCTCGTCTCTAGTCTACCGTCTTCGATTTCGCGAACCTGAAAATAAACTGTCAAAATCAGGTCATCTAGATGTTGTGAATTTTGACATGACCAAAAATGGAAAATTGCAGTCACATGGTTAACTTCATGGTTTGTCGGGGTCAGTAGTTTATTGTGATATTAATCGGGCTGCTGTTTTCATGACTTGAAATCACGATAAATCCCAGAGCGTTTAGGACTGAAACGCCCAGCAGGGTAGAGATCGGCACCCCTGAGCAGTCACTTTTGCAAGAAAGGTACGCTTATAGCGTCCTACCAAGCTGGCAACGGCTCGAATACAAATTGCGCCCGCCCGCCCACAAACGTCCGAGCAGTGCTGATGCTCACATCGCTAAATTTGCACAGCACAAAATGAAGCGAAGAGGTTGATAAGCGGCTGCGGTACTGTAAGAATACAGGTTAGTACATACATACAGCCATGTATACCGCAGCCCTTATTGGCACGATACCAGTGGGAAACTCGTCCGAAATATGCTTTGTGAATCATGTAGAACAGAGGCTTTCCTCTGCAGGTTTTTGACCGCTTCACTTCTTTTTTCGCCATTCTCACAGTATTAACACCCTGGTAGCTTTTAAGACCGAGTACCAAAATATCGTGTCTTTAAAAAAATGGTACGTGATCATAAGAATGCAAGCACTTCGTAAGAAGATGTGACGTGAGGGTAACACTGCACAAATTTAGCAATAGAAAGTTGTATGATAGGGGCGTTGAGGCACCTAGTTGCTCGAGTGACTCCGCCCACATTGCTTGCTGTACTGTCTGCCTTCCTCGCTTGCACTATCTCTCTCTCTCGCTGGTCTTATCTGTTTTCTTGCCAGGGATCACCATCGATTCTTTGTCTCTCGCCTACTCGGAGCGTTTTCGACAGTTTCAACTAGTCAACGAGCACCTAGACTGCTACTCGGCTCTGCTGCCATCAAACTTTTCGAGGGTTTATTGCGGAGTCGCGTTTTTTCGGGGGCACGGTGTTCACGCGCATCACGCAACTCCTCAGTATATATGAAAAATTATCCCCATTTTAGAAGTAGCACACCTTCAAAAACCTTCGCATAAGTATAATAAAAAGAAATAGAAAGATAATTATTGAAGCTGAATATCCCACCTGTACTCGTGCTCCGTGGACTCTGAAAGCACAATCAGACCATTCCGATGAGGTCTTTTCCTGAAGCTCAGAGATTAAATACTCCATATGAGGGTAAATCTGTAAATATTTACCTCCGAGAAATGCTGTATTTCACTTTTCCGCTTTTTAGCTGAAGAGCGCCGACTTTCAGCGCATCCATTTTCAATCATGACGAATCCTGGTGGGGTTTCCACTATTGTATCTTGCGATTTGGCTACCGACTCCTTGTACAAATGGCAGAGTTGTTTCGATGAATCAAATACTCCTGTCTGAAAATCAATACCTATCAAAGACGCACTCCACGTTATTCGGTTTGGAAAAGACATGGACGATGACAGAAAATCGTTGTCCTCTCTATTTGCTGCTTTACTGCTCTAGAAGAGGGCGCATCAAAGAGGAATAAATATTAGTTGACGGTCCACGCCTCTACGGTGAACGTGGACTATGCCTAGGAGTAAAGGGTGGGAATCTGCGGTCTTAATTGCTGTTCAAAATATGAGCGGAAAAAATTCGTAAAACTGTTGAGCTCAATGAGTTTCAAAGAAGAAGATTTCGCTCTAGAAGCCGATTCGTTTGCAAATTGGTGCAGCAATACTGGTAGCAATACTCATAGTGAAAGGTAATAAAGTGGTCAAGTAGTACTGGCTGTAAATTACTGAATAGTAACCTTGCAATTGTCATCGTCCAGGCATGCTTGTAAGCATTTTGTGATGCTTTGAGACGACGTCTGAGTGATTGGAATACCGGACAAACTTTTTTGTACATGTAGAATGAAGACTTCATCATCTTGACAAGTTACATGTGACTCTAAAATTATAAATGTAATATAGTAATAACCTTCGTAAATCTGCTTGAGTAATTGCGAAGAGTTTTCAAGTATGGTTTGATGCTTATTAAGCAGTTGGATGAGAAGACGATGTAAACACTCAGTGCATAATCAATCATTTCAACGGTTCACAGTAAGAACAAGTGCATGGCCTATCTCAAGAGCCATCGTCTGATGGTCTGATTCAAAAGATTACCACTGAATATTCCAACGTTTCATTTTTTCTTGCTAAATTTACAACCGTTAATATAGAACTTGAAGGAATTTTGTAACAATTGCATCCGCCACATTAATGTTCTGCTCTAATTTTTCCCAGTTTGTGAGTTTGTTTCATTGATGAATTTCTTCTACTACTCTCACTCTCTGGAGTCTCCTTGAATCACATTAGTACCATTAGTTCCATAAAAGGCTCCAACCTGGCAAACAGAATTTTTCCGCGTAAATTACATCCGGGTTTTCCACTAGACTTCCAGGACCATGAGGCTCAGCAAGTATACTGTACAGTTCGCATTTGCGTGTAAGTGGGAAGTAGTTCAGCGAGGAACACACTACGCTCTCGTGATCTGGGCCCTGTAAAAGATGACTGTTGATCGATTTTGTGTGAATCCTCGTAAGTAAAGAATTTGAGAAATCTCTGAAATCACAAAGAGAAAGCAGTCATTCTACTTTGAACTTTCGATGTTTTGAAAACTGAACAATGCTTTAGACAGTATGCCCCAGGAGGGCCAAATGAGAGCGACGCTAAACCTCGCCATGCCTGCTCGTCTGCGCACTCTCGCCGATAGAGCACTAATTATTCTGAGAGAGTTACTGGTCCCTCCACCGCTTTATTCCATATCAATATGGTAGGGTACTTCTTCTTTTTTTCACAGCGAGCAAGGCTCTTCTGGTGGCATCGTGGCTTAGCCTCACTGGAGAGCAACTCCTCCAGCGATCACGCATTGAGATGCATATTGATCGCTTCTGTGAACAAAGATTTTTCACCTTTTAGATATAGTATGAACATACCTGATTACTGCTACAGAACTTTGCACAGTCTCCTTGGTCGACGCCATTGTACACCTTAAGAGTATTCTTGAAAAATTCTCAGTATTACTCGCGAAAGCATGAGCAGCCGTTCTCAAAGTAGTGAGAGCAATTAAATATTCATATATAGAATAAAGCTCAAGCGAACTTGAAGTGAAGTTCCAGCTTAGCTTCCTGAGAGGAGAATGTTTGAGAGACAACATAATGGTCTTTACCTTCACTGCCCCTCCGTTAGACATCGGTTGAACGATTTCGTTTCCAATCACAACATAGTAACCAGTACTTGTCAAACATGGTTCTAAATGGCTAACTTTTTGCTAAATTCTGTAAGAGCTTCTCCCACCTAGTGAAGAGTTTTAGAAACACACCACTCGTGGCTTCTTGGAGGCCGTTTTCTTCTGGTACCTTCTTTGAGATTTTCTTCTTCAGTACTTTCGTTTTTTCAAATGTGTCAGATCTGAACCAGTGAAAGCTCCCAAATACATACAAATGCTAACTTGAAATAAATTAGATTTTAGAGATTTTTTTCGCCTCGTTTTTTACACCGAGCATTCAAAACAATGGGTTAGTCCATTCGTTCATCATGGAGAAAAGCCACCGACAAAGCAGTACTATTTTGTAGTAGTTTTCTACCTGTGTCTATTTCCTTTTCTAGTTAGCTGCACTCCAATCCACGCCCCTTAGCACTTCCTCTCATTTGCACGGATAATTAATTAATGTGTGTTGCGCTTGTCTCTTTGATCTACTCAGAGTCCGGCAGGAAGGCTAGCGTTGCTCCAACGCTCCCCGCATGTACACCCAAAACATATCGAGGTCCTTCTAATAGTCTCCCATGTTCGCAAAGATCGTCCTCATCAGAAGTACAATACCAGCGACGGCCCACTGATTAGGACTGTCCGTTGAAAGTTTCTCATTGGGTCTTCCGACCGAGTTGGACTGGTGCAGTTCAAATTGGGATGAATTGGTAAAGGGCATCATAATTTGTACTCGGTCATAAATGCTAGCAAGGTGCAGTATAGGGGGGGGGGGAAATGGCAAAAAAAAGGAGTCGGTCAAAAAACTGCAAAGTGCCGTCAGGCGTATTGATCCTACTCATCTTAGGGATTCACTCCCAACTGCCTTCAACTAAAATGTTGCGTAGAATTTCAAAAGACTCACATCTCATTTGGAAGCTCTATATCTCGCAACGTTTCGTTTTCACTTTCGATGTCGGAAGGCAGCCGAGGGTTCTAAAGACAGAGTAACATAGAAATCTCAGAATTTCGTTGTCGACAGTCATATCTGTCTCACCCTCTGTATCTCATCGTGCTCTGCTGAAAACGATCCGAATTTGGCGAAGTTAAGATTGTTTTCGGCAAGATTCGTATCTGAAAAACATACATGCCTTAGTTCCCATTACATCACTCTGCGCCTCAGACACAATTTAAGTAGCGAAACCAGTCCTACCAGTGCTAGTGGGAAAACTGTCGGTGCGACAATATTTAAAGAAACCTTCTGTGTTTGAAGTAGCAATTAGTGGAGTCCATAAGGGAATTCTCAGGCTTTGATAAGTTTATGTTTGGAAAAAGAGGAGAAGAAAGCGGCAAAAAAAAGTTCCAATGAGAACGAAGCATAGAATAATGAATGAATAGAGACACAGAGACACTCAGCCGCACGCGCGGTGTGCATTGGCAAATGGGGTGCAGCAGCAGCACAGCAGCAGCATAGCAGTAGCATAGCAGCATCACAGCAGCAGCATAGCAGCAGCATAGCAGTAGCACATCAGTCATAGCAGCGCATCACAGCAGTAGCACAGAGCATCATAGCAGTAGCACAGCAGTAGCATAGCAGTAGCACAGCAGCAGCATAGCAGTAGCATAGCAGCAGCATAGCAGTAGCATAGCAGCATCACAGCAGTAGCATAGCAGCAGCATAGCAGTAGCACAGCAGTCATAGCAGCGCATCACAGCAGTAGCACAGAGCATCATAGCAGTAGCACAGCAGCAGCACAGCAGCATCACAGCAGCATCACAGCAGTAGAGTAGCAGTAGCACAGCAGCAGCATAGCAGTCATAGCAGCAGCATAGCAGTAGCATAGCAGCATCAGAGCCAGCCAGCACAGGCCAGCATCACAGCAGTAGATAGCAGCATCAATAGCGACAGCACAAACAAACCATCCCATTCCACTCGCCCACTCACACGCACGAACGCACATACGCACGCACGCACGCACGCACATACAAGGGTGACATAATCATGTCTACGCTACGCAGGGGCATATCTCAATGGTCATTTGGTCATGGTTTAGTCGCGGTTTCTGACCCTTGTATGCCCCTAGTACCTTTGCCACGCACTATCTAGCGGAGCCCTGTGCATTTAGGACCTGCGTTGTTTATAATCTTCTGGGAGAAGCATAAGCCATCTCAACAACGAAGTTATACTGTAGAACTATTTCTTCTCTCAGCTAATTACGAGATTTTTAATCATTCTACACGAATCTTTCTGCGGCATTGAGAACGTTGGTTGACACTAGTTGAACTCACTCTTGCAGTCCATGCCGTCATTTATCCTCTTGTAAAAGTCAATGCCGATTGCAGGGTGTAGAATTGCAGGAACCTATGAGAAAAATTAGAAGTTTTTCGAGAAAGGAGTCGAAAATTGCAAAAAAAAACAGCACTTCTTGATTTTAAAAATTATTACCCTCATTCCGTCGTGATCATACAGACGACATGTTTTCATAGCAATATCGTAAGTGAAGGATCGACAGAGGGGTTCCTGAAGTGCTATCTTACAAACTTTTCTGAGGTACTTCCCGTGAGGTTTTAGGTTAAAATAGCTCCAATTTTCACCGCTGGTTTTTCATTGCCAGCGGCCATAATACAGTAGTCTGAACAAGCCCGCAGGGATTCCATATGATACTCAGCCAAAGGCGGATAATTGTCGATGGCTCGTTTCGATATTCGTTTGAAGCATTTCGCTGCTGAAAACAGTACGTTATGATTAACTATTGATCTACTTGTTTAATGAGTGTATATTCACTATTCAAGTAGTGAAGGTATGGGGAAAAGCGCTAGCCTTCTGAATGGATGAGGGCCTGCGCGCGCGACATACGCCGCATGGGTGCAATAAAGAAATAGAATACAACTGAGTTGTAAGTTGAATGTAATATACTAGAATAATATAGTAGAATAGAATATAATAATCTAAGCTGAACACAATACAGAATAGATCTGACTCTATTTAAGTAGCGAGTTTTCGTGAGTTTTCTTTGGTCCCTACAGTAGGAATTTTCCAAGTGTGCAACTCCAAAACGCAGACTCGTTTTTTACGATGAAGCTGCGTTCATACTTTGCGGCAGCGTCTTCCAGCAACTACCAGCGTCCACTAACGTTCCGAGCCTCCGGGTATCGGCGATAGGGAAGTGTAGCCATCGATCAAGGATGTCAGCGTCTCAAGGGCCAGGGAAGCATAAGTATCGATCTAGCTTCTGCCAACGTTTACCAGCGTCCATCAGTGTTCACCAGCAGCGGGAATAGAGAGTATGGGGAGCTAGGAGGGTAACAACCAGCTGGCTTATGCGTCGTGAAATTTCAACCGAACCGCACAACTGCTAAAGCATGGTGTTATGTAATTTGATGTGCGGAGTGGGGTAGTTGTACGGTGCGGTTGCACACGCCGCAATTTCACGACGCCTCACCGACCTGTTTGCTACTCTTCTATTCCCCACTCTCTACTCCTAGTCGCTGCCGAACGCTGGTTGACGCTGGTAGAGCTGTAAAACGCTAAATCGATACCTATACTTCCTTTGCCCTCGAGACGCTGGCAGAAGCTGGCAGACACGACATCGATAACTATAGTATCCTAGTCGTTGACACTCGGAACGCTAGTCGTCGCTGGTGGACGGTGCCGCAAAGTATGAGTAGACTAACTGCTGTTTAACCCCGCGGCTCGCGCTCATGACGCTGAGTTCTGTAAGACTGTGGCAGAGAAGCTGCAGGTTAAAAATATTCCTTGTGGGAACTCTAGCGCAACTAAGTAACATGAAGTACCGTCCAGATCAGAATATCATAGCTTGCTCGGAAAAATCGTACAATTTACTCATTCTCTGATTTTTGCAGCAGGTCTAGGTCATAGCCCAGTCAGAGACACAACGAATGATCTGCGAGTTCAAAAACTTTATCCATAAAAAACTAGGGTTCCAGAATTGATTCTCTGCACTAAATCGAATGAAAATTACTTTTTTCGTTGTTCAGTCAAACAGTCACGTCAGTCTACATTTGTGGTTGAAGTGGGGTCAGTCTACATTTGCGGTCGAAGTGGGGTGTTTTTTATTCTATAAAGTAAGTACTACTCAGTTGACCACATGGTTTACTTATAGCACGCCGATTTGAGGAAAGAAGCTGAACTAAAGGCCTGCCGCACAAATAGCGCAGGTAAGAATTCCCTGCATAGACTGTGCAATGAATCAAAAATAAAATGACCCGCTAGGGTGGTCGTTTGAGGCGTGGGGCACTTAATCGAAGAAGTTTCCAGCATTTGCACGAGTTTCGGCACGGAAAAGAAAAATGGTTCATTTTAGCTGCAGACTGAAAGGAGGTGAATGCAGTTTAATTAATTGAAAGTGGATGACCAAATGGGAAGCAAAAGATGTGTCTTAGGAGAGATATATTGAAAATCGAAAGGGAAATCGAAAACCATGTGAGAGAAAGGGTAGAGAACATTGGAACGTTAGCTGAAATGAAACTTCTAAGGCTCAATTTCGCCGGATACATTTCGATTCATTAGCTCTTATTAAGACCTATCGGTGCCACATACAAATATTGCAAGGGCTCATGGGAAGTATTACACGTGCCACGTAAGAAATATTACACAGAAATTTTGAAGTGGGACCTCACAATCGACAACTGGACAGTTTGCTAAAGTAATGAGGGTCAGGGGTTCGGGATGGTTACGCAGCCTCGCATGTTGCCTCAGAAAGCTGTTCCATCACAGTTTCTCGCCACGACACACAGGGTTCCAGGGACCATCTCAGCTCCGCTGAGCTATTGACAAAGGATTAGACAAAGCTGAAGACCTGGAAGCTGGTCCCCTACCAGGTTACGCTGTATCAGGGACGTAACTGGAAAGATCAGTGTTAAGGGAAGAACTAAGTTTTTAGATGATGCCTCACAGGATTAGATTGGCAGTTTTCTCTTCGAACTTCTACAACAAGTATGAAACCTACCTCTACGAAGTGAACGTGCTCGCTTTGAATTGATATTTTTATACCAGATGAGGACATAAGGGACATCAAGTGATCTGATGCTCATTTAATCCAACTACTACTGGAGCCAGGCCTTTCCAAGCTTCTCAACGCAAGGTAGAGTCCTGCGGGGAGCAAAAAAAATCTCTGTCTTTTCAGCGGCAGTAAAAAGCTAAATAGTATCGCGTGGAGCCTTTGCAATTTTAGCATGATGTTAGGCCATTATTCAATGATATAAAAGATAATTATGATCTTACATGTGCCGGCAGTACATTGTGAATAGCTTATTGTAGCGATGAAAACGATCAGAAGCAGGCGATCTCCATTCGCCATCGTTATTGAAAGGAACATTTTAATGGGGTCAAAGCGAGCGTCAGCGAAAATCTTTTGCACTGGACGCGCACAGTCATTCCAGATACCCCGATCAGTTGCCGATTTCACTGACGCACAGATCGCCAGATCCTCGATGAAGAAATAAACTCGATGATTTTCGATTCGCGATAAATTTCACTTGAATGAGATACAGAACCCGAAAGCGTTGAACAGTTAGACATTTCGTTTACCTTTCTTATCTTTATCTCGCCTTTTATCTTTCTATTCAGTGGTTATACACTAGGCCACACATGTGTAAGTCGTTATTGTAAAATAATGACCATTTCATTTGTTAGAACGATCAGACGCTTGTTTTTCATGACCTAGGGCAGACCATTGCCACCACAGGATGAAATCAACAGAAATTCTAACAAGGAGGGATGTTGTATGGAGTCAAGCATTACCACGGAGGATAACGACTTGAATAGGGTGTTTGGTTTCTTGAAAGATTGTAACTTCTCACCTGTCATGCCCTATGGCGCACTCGCCTGTGGGGTTGCCTCGCTTAACACACTGAGCGCCGCGGCGTTTTTGCAGCGACTCCCGTTTACACTTCCTGCGTCTCCGCGCGCGTGAATTGCGTGCAATACACAAACGCGCGGAACGGGAGTCTTTGTGCCGCATGCCCTTTGCACGCTCATTCTGCTTTCATTTGCGCTCGATTCTCGCGTGAACCTATTCAATAGAAGGTAAAACTCGGTTAGGTTACATACTTGGATCTAAAGAACGAAGTAGAGGATGTCAATGTTAGTTTTGACGACTTATTTTAGTACAGTGATGAAGGAATTAGATGACTTGGACAACTCAGAAGACTATATGATGACAATCACGAAGAATGTGAGTGATATCAGTCAAATAGAATTCATTTATGAAGGGTCACATTTCATCTTTTTCCGGAAGATCAGGTGTTAAGAGCAAATCAGTCCTTGATGCAATCGCGCCTTTGGATTTATATTTTTTTATTTGGGAATAACGAACCCTCCTAACTTTGTTAGAAACTAACCGGTATGAGGTACGAAATACAACTTCTAGCCAACCAAGCTTGAAAAGCGAAGAAGGATTGGTTGAAAATTATCAATGAAGTGCAGTTACCCTTCTGTAAACTGTATAAAGGGAGCAGCTCTGATGAACACGTTACTTCAAGCCATAGAGAATGTAGAATAAGGAAAACATATTGAGCATATATTCAACGATAATCATTCACAAACGCATGGCTTAGCTAGGAAGAAATTGATCCACAAAATGTGAATTGTAGGCAATACACGCGCGAAATGGGAGTGTGCGCGTGTACTGCTCGCAATTCACGCGGAGTTCAATGTGTTAATTAGCTTTCTCGCTGACTCTTCATACTTTTTCGATTTGGCGATCGCATAAGAATACTTTAAGAAATTCATTAAAACATGAGTTAATATTATTATATCGAGAGGTGCGAATTATGAATCAAATAGCACAATAACATATGAAAAACACGAATGAAGTAACCGCAATACCCTAATAACACTTGCGAGGGGATTAAAATTTTGACTTCGGCTGGAAACTAATTTAGGCTCTCAAACACGATCGGCAGTCGTTTTGCACGAAAAGTTCGTGAAGCCTTACATGCGCCGATATGCACAAGTTCATTTAGGCCAGCGAGCAGTCCAAACTTGTTGAGAGCTGCTCATAAATCGTTTGTAGACATGTCTGGGCAAATGAGAAGACAAAAGAGCATATCAACTGAGCCTATGACCTTTTTCCAATTACAGTCGTCATCCGGGCAGTTGATTAGGCGGTCAAAGGGTCGCAGACGCGGCTGCGGCGCGTCACGACCGCGGCGATCAGCTGTTTCCAGCCTTTTAGCCATTTTCTCCCTAATTTTCACTGTTTTTGGCTGCTTTTCTTGAGGTTAGTTGTTCCTTGTCTTCACAAGATAAATTATGATTGTCATTTTGTTTTTTGCGATCAATCAAATAATTAAACGAACGATTGTGGAAATGCCTAAAAAATCGCAAACACTTCATTACAACAAAAAAAAGAGTACACGACCTAATATATTAGGTTGATGCATATGTTTCAACCCCGACTTTTTTGTAAATATCTCAATAGCGAACCAGCCTGAAGATTAGTGGTATGCACCATCACCATCCACTACTCGACGCCAACGCTCAGGCAGCTTGTCGATTCCATCGTCCCAGAAGGACGGGGGCTGGGACCCGAAGAAGGCCACAATGCTGCTGATTCCACATGGCAACTGTGCGGCATTGTGGCTGCAAATGCAGGGTGATAGCTAGTGTGATGAAAGAGTATCATGTACACGTCACGCACACGTGATGACGAAATACCAACATCCATGCAAACGAAATACGGAAGGATCAAATTTACAAAAAAGTCGGGGTTAATGCATCAAAACTTAGTTTGAAAACAACTTACTTCGAAAAAAAATATAGTGCTAATTGGGGAGAAGAAAGCTAAACAGCGTGGAAAGGGCTAATCGCCGCGGTCGTGACGCGCCGCAGCCGCGTCTG